TAAGAGAATACGCCATCCCCTTTCCTTATGAATCAGGGTGAAGTCTCTCTCAGGGAGGAGTGATAGGGAATGGCAAAGGACACACTGACAAAGGAGATGAATCAGAACTGGCTTTGACAAGCACTGTGACAACTGGACAATTAAAAGAGACATTCAAGGGGGGGGAAGAAGAACAAACTGGGGAGAGTGGTAGAAAAAATAGAGCAACAATGAATGAATGAAAATTCAAAATCTCTGTAAATGTTCATTGAAACTAATAAAAAAAAAAAAGATCAAGGACTACAGACTTCAATATGCGTTGCATTTCTCATTCAAAGACACAAAAAAAATCCTCACCATCATGCTGATAGGCAACATCTTGATAAATGGAAAAAGATTGAAGTGGCCAAGGATTTCATTTTACTTAGATTTACAGTTAACACCCATAATAGCACAGCAAGAAATCAGAAAACTTGTAATGGACAAATTTACTGTCAAGTCTTCCTCTTTGAAGTACTAAAGAACAAGGATATCATTTTGAAATTTAAGGTGAACCTGACCCAAGCTATAGTATTTTCAATTGCTTCATGCACATATGAAAGTTCAATAAGGACTAAGGAAGACAGAAGAATCCATTCCTTTTGCCCTGTGGTTTTGGTGAAGAATATTGAACATATCACAGGTTGACAAAAATAAGTAAAACTTTACATTGGAGATGTACAACCATGGTCATTTTTAGGGCAAGGATGATGCAACATACTTGGGACACATTGTCAGGAGGGCTCAGTACTTGGAAAAAGAGAATATACTTGGGGAAAGGTCGCAAAGGGGAGATGGTCCTCAGGGGGTTGGACTGGCATGGTGACTGCAGCTCTGGGCATAAGCGTAGTGGAGACTGTGAGGAAAGGGCAGGACAGGGCAAGAGTGCTATGACTCGGAGCAGATTTCACACACCTAACAACGACTTGGCTGCTTTCGGCAGTTTTGACACAGACTATATATGACCTGCAAAGCGGAAAAGATTCTCTATCTGGCTCTTTATAGAAAATTGTTTACCAATCCCTATAGAGCAAGAGATAGGGTGGAAAACTAAAGACTAAAAGAATAATCATTGAAAAGAGCACCTGTTTTGAGAAGAGCATTGAAAAGTAACTAAATTATGCCTATAATATATAATTTAACAAATAAATGGCACACAGTGAAAGCCTTTAACATCACCTGAAGTGATTGTTTTGCTGTAAGAAAGCCTGCGAAGCCTCCAAATTCTATCAAAGAGATGATTATCCAATACTAGAATGTAACCAAAGAAAGCTCAAATTGAATCACACGTACCCTAGAAATGTAGAAATAATCTGCCAAGGCACAGCTTCTAACTCCCTGGAATAGACATTATACCAGAAAATTCTTATACTAAAAATACCCATGTAAATACAGCAAAACCAAGGGTAAAATGTAACATTTGTTTACTTTTTTTTCAGGTAAAACAAATTACTAGACAATGTACCCCTGATTGCAGTGGGCTGATTAAACTGTATCCAGGCCTCCAGGAGGAAGCATTTGGCCTCTCTGCCTTAGCAGTTGCTGTGTGAGTGTGGAATATGAGTAAGATGTTGTTTACAATTGTCAGTATGTGTTTATGCGGATGCCTGACATTCCCAACTCATCCTGTTAAATACCTAAGATTCTGATTCCAGATAGCATTAGCTTAATACATTCTGCATTCAAAGCAGAAGTTGCAGCCCAAGAAAGTGTGATCTGGTGCTCAGTAAAAACCCTGTGTGAAGACAGAGTTCACTATACCGACAGGCAGAGCAAGTGCCCTGAAACAGCGATGGGGAAAGACTGAAGTCCACTCTGGGCTGCCATCAAGCTACCGACTGAATTTCTAGTTATGAGTTCCATCACCCTTATGTCAATCAAGTGAACACAAACTTTTATCGTCTTCCTGATTCCTATATCAAAGCACCACAAAAAAAAAATGCTCCTGTCATTTTGTCACAAGAGCCAGCACTTTTTGTCATCTTTTCTTCTCAAGACCTTCCCAGGACCACTGTCATGTCTTTCTGTCTCCATCCTATGTTTTCTGTTCTCTGGGTTAAAGGATGTATACAAAAGAAAGGATAAAAATTTTCCTTAGAGAGTCAGGAGTGGCAAAATTCCCCTTTCTGAGGGTAAAACCATCAACCAGGGAGGAAGCCTCAGAAGACCCAATTAGTAACTCTACATTCTATTAAAAACTCAAGGAATATTTTGACAAAAATATTTGACTAGTAACTTCAGCGTTGCCTGACCAGGTATAGTGTGGTATGGTCTGCATGGAGTATTAAAAAGTTACTCAATCTCACAAAAGATAAATGGGCTTGTATTCCAGTAATGAGTGCTGTTGGCATAGGGCAGGGATGTTCTTCCATCTTCTCTATACCCCAAATGAAATACGCTTTTGAATTGTGGTGTTGGCAAAGAGTCTTGAATATACTATGGATTTCCAAGTGAATGAACAAATCTGTCTTGGTTTAAGTGCAACTGGGGTGCACCTTAGAGGCAAGGATGATACAATGTCATCTCCCATACTTTGGATATGTTGTAAGAAGTGATCAGTCCTTGGAAAAAGACACCGATCTTGGAAAAGTAGGGGGTCAACTAAAGAGAAGACCCTCAATGAGATAAATTGGCATAGTGACTGCAACAGTTAGTTTGAGCCTGGCAGAGATCATGGAGACGACACCATGGATTACTCTGAGTTGTAACTGAGTCAACAGCATCTAACAATGGCAGACGATCTCTCAAGAATACCCAAGCAGGAGTAATGCAGGAACAAAGGCCCGCCCCACTCCATACGCCTAAGTCTCACGTGAGTTACACTTCCCCCCTTTTCGCTCTCTGGGCACCACCATGCCTGTCGGCAAGAACAAGCATCTTACAAAAGATGGCAAAAAAAGGAGCTAAGAAGAAACTGGTTGATGCATTTTTCTAAGAAAGATTGGTATGATTTAAAGGCGCCAGCTATGTTCGATATAAGAAATATTGGGAAGACTCTAGTCACGAGGACTCAAGGAACCAAAATTGTATCTGATGGACTCAAGGGTTGTGTTTTTGAAGTGAGCCTTGCTGATTTGAAAAATGATGAGGTTGCATTTAGAAAATTCTAGCTAATTACTGAGAATGTTCAAGGCAAAAACTGTCTCACCAACGTCCATGGCATGGATCTTACTCGTGGCAAAATGTGCTCCGTGGTCAAAATATGGCAGACCATGATTGAAGCTTATGTTGATGTCAAGACTACCGATGGTTATTTGCTTCTTCTGTTTTGTGTTGGTTTTACAAAAAAAAAAAAAAAAAAGAAAGAAAGAAAGAAACCCAAAACCCAAACAAACCCAAAATTCAACCATCAGATCTGGAAGCCAATTTATGCTCAGCACCAACAGGTCCACCAAATACGGAAGAAAATTATGGAAATCATGACCCAAGAGGGGCAGACAAACGAAAGAGGTGGTAAAGAAATTTATTTCAGACAGCATTGGGAAAGATATAGAAAAAGCTTGCCAGTCTATTTATCCTCTCCATGCTATATTTGTTAGAAAAGTAAAAATGCTGAAGAAGCCCAAGTTTGAGTTGGGCAAACTCATGGAGCTTCATGGTGAAGGTGGTAGCTCTGGAAAATCTACTGGAGATGAGACAGGAGCTAAAGTTGAATTAGCTATGAGCCACCAGTTCAAGAATCTGTTTAAAATTCAGACGTTTAATAGTAACAAAAATTATTTGTGGGAAAAAAAGAATACACAAAGAGCTAATCTCTGATTATACATTTCATATGGAATGATTCTACCTGGTTTTCCTGATATAGGTAAAGATTGCTAGTAGCTATTCAATAATTCATCCTCTTTTCATTTTCAGAAACTGTGTTGCCACTGCAAAAGTACACAGTTTGAATCCACCATTTGCTTTCCTAGGAAAAAAATAGGCAATCTCCTTTTATATAATTTATTGCCTCTAAAAACTGACTGGAGGATCAGCTATGGGTCAATTCCAACTCAATGTCACACAACAGCTGTTGACTTAGTGAAAAGGAGTTATGTTGTTAACCCAAATCCCCCAGCTGCTCCATAAGAGAAAGATGACGAATCTCCTCCCATGTGATTACAGCCTCTGGAAACTCACTGGATGGTCAGCAGTGAATGGTTTCAACTTGATAACACATAGCAGCAGCAGCAGCAGCAGCAACAGCATCTTTAGGGAGAATTGTGGTGGCGTGGACTGTAGGCAGTTAGACCACTTCAAAATCACTAACAGCAAAGACAGGCAATCTCCTCCTATTTGATTTACAGTCTTGGAAACTTCTGGAGTCTCAGTTATAAGTCAGTTCCAATTCTATGGTGGTGAGGAGGAGAACATTTTTAGCCATTATTATTTCAGGTCTTTGCTGCTAATGGTGGTGTGGTGGGTTACATGTTTGAGCTGCTTTCTGAATGGTCAGTGATCCCAATCTATAAAAGCAAGAGGAGGTAACCTTCTCCTATAAAGACTTGCAACCTAAGGAACACAGTGAGCGTTGCCATGAGCCAGACTCAGTGCCAGTGGACTTTAATAGGTGCTGACAATGAAACACAATTCCAAACAGACAGCTCACGGACCAGGCTAGATGGCCAAGAGGTCACTGATTAGAGGTACATCCAAGATGCAAAGGAATGATTAGCAGTGGTGGTTTGACACCAGACTCTTCTAAACTTGGTTAATAGGAAACAAGTTCCTAATAACTTCTGTACTCCCAGTGAATCACAAAACTGAATTGCTGGGGTTTGTGATGCATTGAATACGAGACAATGAGAAGCTTCCTCTTTGGAGAAGAGCAAAGGAACAAGCTCTTAAATTGTGGATAGTTAATGGAAGGGGTAGACTATTTTGTGAATAGTGTGAATATGAAACAGCACTAATTCATAGGTAGGATTTCAGATGACTGCAAGAACAAATATTTTACCATTTTCCATGCAAATCCAAATCCACACATCCACCCACCACTACTATACTCAGATGCCCTGGTGAACTCAGACTCCATTCTACATTCTCTAGTCTCTAGGCCCTATCACCAATGAAATTCCCAATGGGCAGTGAGTTCCTGCTTCCTGAACTAATTATTTAGTGTGTTGTCTGAGATAAACCCTAAGGACCTGTATTGGTTTGAGCTCAAGACTTGATTATTGACCAGCACATACCTATGCTTGTTAAGTATTGGTTAGATTTAAATGAGATATAAAGGAGGAAAGAGAACAGAGTCAACTCCAACTCACAGTGACCCTCCATGGGCTTCCATCATTCTCCCTCAGAGTCACCAGTAGATTCAAATAATGAGAGAAGCACAGTCCTTGGGTTTGCAAAGCAATTAGCTATTGACTACGGCACCAGAACAAAACTCAACTCAGTACTATCAAGTCAGTTTCAACACATAACAACCCTCCACTGGGTTTCCAACACTGTAAATCATAACACAAGATTATCCATCTTTCTCTTGAAGAGTCATTGGTGAATTCAAATCACCAGAGACAAATTATTTGGGTTAGCTGTGTAATTTTTTCACAGACTGCACTGTGAGGCTTCCTCAAGCAAAGTAACAGGGGGTGGTACATCCAAGGATGGGTCAAAAGCTCAAAAAGAATGATATTTTAAAAGAAATACAGATAATTTTAGTTAGGATTTATGGTTGGCAGTCAATGAAATGTTAGGTTAAAGTCTCATATAAGAATATCCTGCAATCCCACAACAAATACCCAATTCCTTTTTCCAAGGATAGAAAAGGCATTGTCAAGTTTATTTGGAAAGGAAAGAGATCTTGAATAAGCAAAGCACTTCTGAAAAATAAGAAGGAAGCAGGAGGCATAGCACTCCCTGACCTCAAAACCTACTCCACAGCTGTAATAACCAAAACAGCATGGTTCTGGGACAATGACAAGCACAAAGACCATCTGTGATCAAGTGATATTCGACAAGGACACAAAAGCTATCAAATGGGGAAATGACAATCTCATCAACAAATGGTGGTGGCAAAGCTGTACTGCTAGATGCAGAAAGCTAAATCAGGATCTATACCTGACACCACCCACAAAAATCAACTCAAGGTGGATCTGAGACTGAGGGGTAAAGGGCAAAACGATACCATACTTAGAATGCCTAACCTATGGTATACAGATTCTGAAAATACAACAAAAATTATATAACCAGGAGAGCATGAAATTGATAATGGGACTTATCAAAGTTTAAATTCCTGTGTGCATCAGAAACTTTTCCCAACAGGATGAAAAGAAAACCTACTGACTAGGAACAAACATTTGGCAATACCATCTCAGACAAGGATCTCATAACAAAAGTTTACAGAATCCTACAGGGCCTCCATAAGAAAAAGACCAATAACCCAATTACAAAATGGGCAAATGACATGGAAAGACTTCACAAAGGAAGACATTCAGATGAAATGCTCAAAATCACTGGCAATAGGAGAAAATCAAATAAAAACCACAATGAGATACCATCTTAGCACAGTAGCAGTGGTAAAGTTTGACAGGATTGAAACAGTAATGTTAGAGAGGATGTGGA